AGTGGTTCAGAAGTAAACTTCATAGTTTTTGCTTGTGGAAATACTCTGAAAGTAGAGCACAGATCTTGTGCCATGGCACAGGGGTATGAACTGGAGGTTCCTTGCTTTTGCTGGGACTCTGCTCTCCCCCAGCACAGGGAGGGCGTGGGGAACCATCAAATACAAAAGATCACTGAATAATTGAGACCTCGGCCAAAAATCCTGGATCCTAGAGAAAACACAGTCTGTGACTCCTTGGGAGTCCAAAAGTCAGGGTAGAATGTGTGGCTGCTCCATCTTTGGATGTGTCCAAGGCCAGGCTGGATGGGACTTGGAGCAGCCTGGGACAGTGGAAGTGTCCCTGCCCATGGCAGGGATGGGACTGGATGGGCTTTGAGGTCCCTTCCAACCCAAACCATTGGATTGGAAGGCTCTGTGATTCTTTGTGCCATCTCCTGAGTGCTCCCATTGCTGTCACCACCAGTCCCTGGCTGATGGATCTGTGGATAGATCTGCTGACAAATGCAGGGAGAGAAGGTGATACTAGTTTGCAGCAATCTATTATAATTTTTTTTCAAAATTAAGTTTGTCTGACAAGTTGGTAGACAAAAAGGTTGATGGCTTTATAGGTCCTCTGTGAAAAAAAATGTGAAATCCACACCATTTGTTTTATATTTCTGTGCTTTATTATCAAAGCTGTGCTTCCACTTTCCCCCAAGGTTTTCAGTGGAAGCTTAAGGTGGCATTTTTTATTTACTGAGATTTTAAATGATTGGGCTGCAGCTAAGGAGGAAATTAAATTGTGGCCTTGCAGCCAGAGCTAGTGCATGATCTTAAAAAAAAGAATTAAAATGCTGGTGCTTGCAGGCAAGAGAAAAGAAAATAAGAACAACAAAACCAAGGCAGACTTTTTTGTTTGTTTTAATTGGAGCCATTTCCTCAGACTGCTGATTTTGAGGCAGAAACTAACTGCATTTTGTCTTTGATGTAGAAACAACTGGCTGTACTTTTGACTTAGAGAGCTCTTCCTCCTGGAAAACTGCTGCAGGATATTTGGCTTGAACAGGTGGGAAAACACCACATGGAATGTGAACGCTCTGCCTGATCTTATTTTAAGGGAATCTTCTCTTTTAAAAATTTTTAAATAAGAATTTTAATTTATGCTTCTCATATTTTTAAAGCAACAGCTTTTATTCTCCACGAGACTTGGGCATTTTTTGTGACTGTGTTATAAAAATACTTGAAACAGAATAAATTATCAATAAAGGATTATTTAAGAGTTAATGTCAATTCCTGTGTGTCAGTGAAGTTTTTCTCCATTAAAACACAAAGAAAAGTTAAATGCATTTGTCTCCAAGGAAAAGACAAAATATTGATCAACCTTTGATTTATCACAATTGATCTTTTACAACACAATAACCTAAAGAGGCTTCTGAGACATTCTCCACACTCTAGGTGTTCCAGGGCTCAGAAACCACCATAAATAGGTGACTGAATATCCTTTAATAGTTGGAAAAAATTAAAACAACAAAAAAAAGTCAGACCACTAGCATGTTTGGAACATAAAAATTTCTTTCGCACGTGGACATCATAGTGGAGGTGACAAAAACTGTCATTGCAAAATGCAACTACATTCATTCTTGACTCAGAAGGCAATTTAAAAATCCTCTAAAAGTTATTGTAGCATACAAAAATCAAACAAAAACCACAACTGCAATAATAATGGTTGAATATTGATTGAATGTGGGAATATTTGAGTAACATAATGTTTCAAATGTTCCACCTGGGAGCCCCGGTGTTCCCAGGGCTTACAGTGCCTGGCAGAGCTTCTGTCCCTTTACCTTAACCTCCTCCCCCATCTTGGGGGGCCCCAAACCCTCCCCACACACCTGGAGCACACCAACCCCCATTCCCAAAGCCCTCTCCCAACCCCTTCCATCCCCAAGGCCTTCTTCCACTCTGGGGCACACCAAAAGAACTCAAGCCTTGGGGTACCCCACTGCCTCAGATAAGCCCCAGTCCCGTGACAGCCTCCTTGAGGATTACCTGCACACCAGCTTTTCCCACCTTTTTCCCCTCAAAAATGTGTCCACTACCCAAAAAAATGCCAGATTTTGACAGGAAAAATGGAAAAAAAAAAAAAAAGTAATTTATGGTTATTTTTTGAGATTTTATTCCAGAAAAATTCCAAGGGCTTTTTGCTGGCCCCAAGTTGTTGCGAAAATACCCGGGAATTCTGCCAGGCCCTTCTGTATTTCTGGGAATTTTGTATCCCACTGCCAAGGTTTTGTTATTATTTTTGAGGTGTGAACTCAGAGATTTGGAGACTTCCCAAGGCAGGGTGGGAGACACCTGCTCCTGTGGAGGTAAATGAGAAGGAGATGGGAGTCCCACCCCACAGTCCAGGTGGTCAAGAATCCAAGTGGGAATGGGGAAGAAACAAGCAAAAAGAGGAGGGGAGGGAGAGAGCAGAATTCAGCATGGAGGGGTGAGACTGGGGAGGAAGGGGCTCAGTGCATGGCACAGTGCCCCAAAACCTGGTGCCACAATGCCCTGAAATTTGGGGTTACAACCCTTCAAATTTGGGGATCATATTGCCCCAGGCTTTTGGGTCTCATTGTCCCAAGCTTTGAAGTCACACTGCTCCCCATTTTAGGGTCAAAAGGTCCCAAAATTGGGAGCCAAAATGCACCACACTTAGGGGTCATGATATCCCACACTTTGAGGTTAAAATACCCCCACGTGGGGATCATAGTGCCCCACATTTAGGGTAACAGCACCCCACATTTGTTGTCACATTGATCCCACATTTTAGGGTCAAAGTGCCACAGAATTTGAGGTCAAAATGCCCCACTCTTTGGTGTTGCAATGTCCCTCACTTGAGGTCACAATGCCACACTCTTAAAGGCTCAAACTTTGGGAGCAAAACACCACACATTTTGGGGTCAGAATGCCCCATACTTTGGGGTCACAGTGCCCTAGGCTTGGGTTAACAGTGCCCCACCCTTACGGGTTGCAGTGACACTCTTGGGTCACATTGTCCCACACTCTGCTGTCAAAACACCTCACACTTGGGGAGTCATATTGTGCCACATTTTGGATTCTCAGTGTGCCACACTTTGGGGTCACAGTGGGTCACATATAGGGGTCTCAATATCTCAAACCTGAAGGTCACGTTGCCCAACATTTTGGGGTCACAATGCCCCTCATTTGGGGATAAAAAAGTCCCACTTGGGGATCACATTGCCCCACACTTGGGTGTCACAGTGTTTTACTCTGGGGTCACAATGATCCACGCATAGGCATCACTTTGCCCCAGACCTGTGGGTCATGGTACCCCACGTTTTGCACATACCACATGATTTAGGGTCAAGTTGCCCCAAATTTGGAGTCATAGAGCCCCACTCTTTGGAGTCACATTGCACCACACTTCGGGGTGAAATGTCCACACTCAGGGGTCACAGGGCTACCCCCTTTTAGGTCACATGGCCCCACAGTTTGCAGTCAAAATGCCTCATGTTTGGGGTTGTGATGTGACACACTTGGGGGCCATGGTGCTACAAATTTAGGGGTCACAGATCCCCCTGGACTTTGGGGTCAGGATACCACATTCTTTGGGGCTGCAATTCCCCACATAGGGTTCTCAGTGCCCCACAGTTGGGGGTCATGTTGACCCAGATTTAGGGGTAAAATATCCCTACCCATTGGGATGATGTAGAGATACAGATGGAGAGCAGGGCTCAGAGCACTGGTCAACTCAAGGCTGAAGTGGATGTATTAGGTTTGGCAGGCCACAAGCCCTTGCAAGCCAAGGCAGAACCCTGAATAGGGAAGCAGAAGGAGTGCTTGGTGTGCTTTCTTTCAGATAAATCATGCAAGACTGTACGTGCCTATGCTGGTCTGTCCAGGTCTGTGCAGAGGGTTTGTGCAGAGCTCTTTCTGATTAAGTCATGATACTTAGAAACACCAGTGGTGTGGCTGTGCTATTGTTGGCTGTAGTTGAAAAGGTATATATTGATGTGTGAAATCAATAAATCGGCTTCATGCTCCCATCAAACGGCGTCTCGTCTCTTCGTTATGCAAGTGGGGGTCCCGTCTTTTTGTTAACCACCATCAACTCCCCAGTTTTTCCAACTTAGCAAATGAACCCCAAAAAAGCCTTTAGAAGCATTTATTGACTGTTGTATCAAAATCAGCCCTTAGCAATATCATTTTTATATGGGAAAAGACACTGGGATTTGGATATTTTTGACCTGAATTTAATATATTTCTGGTTTTCAGGGGCTGGATGGGACATCAGGACATGAGGATCCCCACATATTAATCCATTTGGAAAAAATCCAGGAAAATGTCATGGATTTGAAGCAAAATCCAGAATTTTCCCAAATTTGGGGGAATTTTAGGTGGATCCACCTATGGGACGGGGTAGATAGGAGCATCAACTTCCTGACGAGTCTGGTGGTAGATGTGGCTGGAAGAGAAAGAAATACATGATTTTGGGCAGAAATGGGTCAGTTTTGGCAAAAATAGGGAAGTATTATGCAAAATGGATTATTAATGTGCAAATAATGGGTCTTTGTATTCAGAAGTGCGTCAGCATTATGTGTAATAGCCTGATTTGGGGAAAGGGGTTAATTTTGGGGGGGAAATGGTATTTATGCAAAATGGCTCATTGGGAAAAAGATCTCATTATTGGGCAAAGAAAGTCCCCTTATAATGCAAGATGGTTCATTTCTTGGCAAAGCAGTTGCTTACCCAGATCGTTCCCACAGGATCCTGCCTCAGTCGCTGCGGATGAAACCAAAGAAGCTGGAAAATTCCTTCCAGGATCTGCCCAGCCCCTGCCCCACTGACAATACTGCCAAATTTTTGAGTGGGAAAACACAATTTTTCTTGGATTCTGGGGTAAAAATAAATTAGGAATTACTCACCACCCAGCAAAATCCCGGGATTTCCACATGTCCACCACTTCTCCAATGCTCCGGGCATCACGTCCATCTGGAAGCTTCAGGTCATCTCTGGGGCTTCCGTTGAAATTCCCACAGGGGGCACAGAGACGGGAGGCCAGGCCAGAGGTCACGGTGATGGTTGCGTCTCCATTCTGGGTGATGGTGATGGACATCCCAGACCAGTGGGTGATGGTGACATTCTCAGGGGATGATGCCACAAAGATGGAGTCAGACATGGTGGTGGGGGGCCGGGTGAAGAGGCCATTGACCTGGGAAAATTACAAAAAATTACGAAAAACACGATGGAAAATCAGTTTGCTCTTGGGCAAAGGGTTGGCTAGTACCAAAATCACTCTCCTCTTTTTTCAAAAATGGCTCATTATTGGGCAAAATCCCTCCACATCAGACAATATAACTCAGTACCAGGTAAAATCTAGAGAGATTTTTGCCCAAATTTCTCTAGATTGACCCAAACCACCCCAAAGCCCCTCACCTGCTCCACTCACCCAAACCTCCATGTCGCTGTTGACGCTCACAACGCCCTCACGGACGAAGACGATGGCAGCCGTGGCTGCAGGGACATTCATGTCACGACAGTTGCTGACCTCAATCACCACCTTGAACCAATCCGGGGCTTTCTCATCGCAGAGGGCTGACACCTTGTAGGTGCCACTGGCCAACAGGGGCCCGGTGGCACCATCGAAGGTGGTCAAGGTGGCTCCAGGCGTGACCCAGCAGTGGCCTTCCCTCCTGGCACACACCTGTTCCCCGTCACGGGTGATGCACACCTGGTTCTGGGGACACTGCTTGTCCTGGCACACCAGTCCCCGTGATGGGTGACAGTGGCATTCCTTGGAGCAGTTGTTGAAGGTGACAGTCTCACCTGCCTGGAACAGAAATCTCACAGGTTAACGCAATCTCCTAAATTTTGGAGGAATTTCCTGAATTCCAACTAGGGAAATCCTAGAGAGCAAGAAATTCAGGTGGATTTGGGGGACTTTGGGCAGCTCAACCAGTTAATGGCAACTTTTTTCCTGCTAATCACGGTGTTCTTTGTCCTTTTTCCCCATTAATTGTTCCTCTTTTCTCATTAATTATTAATTCATCATTCCTGGCTACTCCTTTGCTAATTGTCCTTTTTTCCCCCTCACTAATTATCCTTTTTTCCCCCCACTAATTATCCTTTCTGCTGTTAATTATCCTTTTGTGCCCCAAACCCTCTGGAACTTTCTAGATGGGGCAGCTCAAGCCCCAGACTGATTCCCAGAAAACCAACCCCACCAATCCCCAGCCTCGGGTGTCACCTGTCCTGTCACCTGACCTTGAGGTAGCGTCCCCTGTGGAGGCAGCCGCAGCGCTCAGGTGACACGCAGGTGTCCCCGTCGAAGACGAACCCCTCGTCACACTGACACCCCTCAAAGCACCCCCAGGTGCAGGGGGCGGGGCCCACGAGAGCAGCACAGGTGAGGTCACAGGTGCGGGTGCAGAGCTCGTAGTGGCTGTTTGGGGGGCAGGACAGGGCTGGGGAAAAAGGGAAAAAACCCCATTGTTGGGATAATTCCAAAACTGTGCAAGGCTTTGGTCAAAATTTGAAGGTCTTCAGGAAACAATGTGGGTTTTTTTTAATTTTTGATGGAGTCTTTTCCAAAATGGGAGTTCTTTTCCTAGTCTGGGCATTTTCCTCAAGACTGGGGCTTTTTTTCTTAACAAAATTGGGGTGGTTTTTTGCTTTTAATTTGAGAATATCATTCCACAATTCAACTGGCATTATTCCTCCATGCTGGAGTGTTTTCAGTAAAATGCTATTAATTTTACCTAAATGGATGGTTTCTTCAAAAATTTTGGGTTTCTTTCTTCAAGGAATTTGAGCTTTTTTCCAGAATTGGAAGCGTTTTAGCAAAATTGGAAAGTTTTCTGCAAAATATTTTTTTTCAAATTGAGGGGTTTTTTTTCAAAATTTGAGGAAAGAAGTTCCAAACTAGAGGGAATTTTTCAAAATTTGATTATTTTTAAAAATGGTGAGCAATTTTTTCAGATTTTGAGGCCTTTTTCAAAACCGAAAAGTTTTAATCAAAATTGAGAGCTTTCAAATTTTAAAGGAATTTTCACATAATGGGAGGATGTTTTTTCCAAAACAGAAGGGAATTTTTCTAAAATCTCAGCGATTGCTTTCAAAATCAGAAGACTTTTCTGAAACCTGCATGTTTTTACACTTTTTTAGGGTTTTTCGAATATTGGAGAATATCTTCTAAAACTTGAAGGAATTTTTGCAATATGTGAAATTTTTTTTGAAATGCAGGGGAACTTTCTCAAAATTTGAGGCAACATTTTCCAAAATGAGGAAAATTTTCCCCAGATGGGGGAAATTCTTTCCAGAACAATTTTTCCAAAGCTTGAGGGATCATTTTTCCCTTTTTTTTTTTTTTTCAGGAGAAAAGGTAGCTTTTGTGGAAAAGAGGACCTGGGTGGCAAAATTCTTCCTGACTTACGGCAGAACTCCTTTGTCCTCCACGCTCTGATCATCGCGCCAGCGGCTTGGCAGGCGGCGGCGTACGCCTGCAGTGCGTGGCACAAGGCAGCGTGGTCCCCTCTGGCAGCACAAACGTCATGGACACAGTGGGTGAAATACTCCACGGGGCTGACACGTGGGTGGCACTCCCGGAATGGCCCTTCCGCGTCACGGATGATCCCGCAGGATCCGTTCCTGCCGTACGTCTCCTCGTTGGGGACATCACACCTGCTGCACGTGTTGTCATCACAGCCGTCACTGCATGCTCTGTTCTTCTCTGGAACCTTCCAGGAGGTGACAAATTCCTGGGTGGTTCCTGCCAGGGCCCCGCTGGGCAGCCGGAAGTCATCACTGGGGTCCCCATCATAGTCACCGCCCAAGCCGCACAGCCGGCCGCGGTAGACGTCGGGGACGGTGATGAGGAGGAAGGTGGCTGTGTTGTAGAGGATGCGGACTCCTGCGGCAGTGTGGAGGATGATGTTATTCCCCTCTTGGCCAATGCGGAGGTTCTTGTCCTCTGTCACCAGTGGGAGGGTGTAGCGCTCCGAGTCCACCTGGAATGGGGGATAGGGTGACACATGTGACACTTGGAATAGAGTTGTTAGACCTGACTCCACAGTGACAGTGTAGCTGTGGAGGGAAACACCCACCTTCCTTATAATCATGGCATCACCATGGGAATCACTGGATCCTCTCCACAATTGACACTGTACCCATGGATGGACACCACCGCCCTCTTCATCATCACCACATCACTGTGGGGGTCTCCAGACTTACCGTCACCTCCCACCTCCGTCCCCGCTCCATGGTGACGGTGTAGCCATGGATGGATACCACCACCCTCTTCATCAGCACTGGGTCGCCGTGGCTGCCTGCCTCATGCTCCACCAACACCGTGAAGTTGACCAACCGTCGGGCCGGCTCACACACCCGTGCCAGGATGTAGGTGCAGGATCCCGGGACATTGAAGGTGCGTCCATCAAAGGTGACATAGTGGGGGTCTCCTGACACGACCAACCGGCCGTAACCAGTGGGGTGACATCCCAACACCCCATCTTCCACCCGGCACTCCTCGTGGGCGCCACAGAACGCCTCCTGGCAGGTCACTGTGCCATTGGCACCACAGCGGCAGCGTTCCCGGCATGAGGGGTAAAACTCCGTGTCCTTCTCGTAGTAGCGACCAAGGTACTCACAGCCACACTCAGACTCAGGAACACAGTCCGAGCCGCTGAGGATATAACCGGTGTCGCAGAAACAGCCCTCGGAGCAAGGAGATGCAGGACAGGAGGTGGGGACGGAGGGGGTGTTGCAGGTGGGCTGGCAGGGGCTTCCACAGAGCTCATAGTGGGAGTGAGGGGGGCAGGAAAGAGCTGGGGAAAAAAAAAATAAGGAAATAGGGAGTGAGGGGATTATCTGGAGGGAAGGAAAGTCCCTCAAGGAAGGAAGGAAGAAAGGAGGGAAGGAGGAAGGGAGGGAATGAAGAGGAGGGGAGGGAGGGAGGGACAGGGAGGAGGGAAGGCAGAGAGGGAAAGGAGGGGAGGGAGGGTCCCATTTGCCCCCATCCCACCCACACTCACTGCAGAACTCTGCTGTCCTCCATGTCTCCACGGCCACTCCGTGATTCTGACAGGCAGTGACATAGGCAGAGACGCCCTGGCACACAGTGTCGCGGTGTCCCTTGTAGTGACAGGCATCGAAAGCACAGTCCTGCAGGAACGGCTCCGGGTTGATGACACGGTGACACTCCCGGAAGGGTCCCTCTGCTCGGGCGATCACCCCACAGTACCTGTCCCCGCGGTACGGCTGCACCTTGACTGCATCACACAGCGGGCACTCCGCGCCACAGCCAGCTGAGCACCCGGGGACGTCCCCCACCTTCCAGCTGTCACCCAGCCGGGTCTCATCGGAGGCGCGGTGGCCACCAGGGGTGACAAAGTCGTCATCAGGGTCACCATTGGCGTTGCCACAGAGGCCGCAAACGGCACCTTGGTAGGTGGTGGGGAGGAGGACACGGGCGTAGCTGTACCAGTCAAAGGTGACAGTGACACCAAAGTCGGTGGCGACAAAGCCGTGGACGCCGCGGTAGAACACAGAAAAATGGGGGTGGGTGAAGGGAAGGGACACAAAGGCGCCGTCCACCTGTGGGGTGGGGAGGGAGACAAAGGGTGGAGACAGAAGGGAAGAGGTTTGAAATAATAATTTGGTAGTTTTATTTTATTTTGCTACTGTATTTTTGTTTATATTACAATTTTATTTAAATTTGCCTCATAATTTTAATTATCCTTTTTCTTTTTGCATTTATTTCTTCTTATTGACTTTTTAATGGCTTTAATTTTTATCTTTATGCTTTTTATTCTTATTTACTTTTTAGTATTTTTATTTGAATTATTTTTATATTTTAATTCTGTTTTAATATATTATATATTTAATATAATTTGGGGTAAAAACTGGGGAAAAATAGGAACTTGACAGGAAAAGAGGGAATTTGTGCAAAAAGTTGGACTTAGAGGGAAAAGGAAGATTGGCTAGGAAAAAGGAGAAAGCATGAGAAAGAAAATGGAATTTCAGAGAAAATAGGTAATTTGGGGGACAAGGAGGATTGGGGATACAGAATTTTTAGGGGAAAGAGGTGATTTGGGGGAGAAAGTAGTATTTGAGGGCTAAAAGGGGGACTTGAGTGAAAAGATGGGTACTTGGGCTGAAAGAGGAAAATTTGCAGACAAAGAGGCATTTTGGGGGAAAAAATGAAACTTTTTGTTAAAAGGGGATTTTGCAGGAAAAAAAGGAACAAATTTTGATGGCAATCTTGGGGATTTTTTGGGAAAAGGGGAAATTGGGGGGAAATGAAGAACAATTTGGAGGAAAAAAGAGGAGTCTAGGGGTAAAAAGGAATACTTGGCAAATAAAAGGTATTTGGGGAGACAAAGGACATTCGAGGGATAAAAAGGGGGATTTGGGTGGAAAAAAGGGAGAATCTGGGGGAAAATTGAGAATTTAACATTAAAAAAGGGTACTTTGAGGGGAAAAAGGAAGACTTTGGGGGGGACAATGGTAATTAGAATGGAAAAAAAGGGGAATATGAGGGAATTTGGGGGTGAAAGGGATTCCTTGAGGGGTTGCCCACCTTGACCTTGCGTGGGTGCTCCTGGCTCATGCTGATGACACTCCCGTAGACCTCCAGGTTGACGGTCTTGGTGAAGGACACGGCACGGCTGCCACGGTGGTTGTTTTCCACGGTGACATTGAAGGGGACCAGGGTGGGCTTGAGGGTGCAGAGGGCAGCAAACTGGTAGATGCAGGAGCCTTGGAAGTCAAACCTCAGTCCGTCAAAGGTGGTGTAGTGTGGGTCACCTGTCCCGATGCAGGTGTAGTGCTTGTTGGGTGTACACCTGGCAATGCCATTAACCATGACACACTTCTCATGGGATCTACATCCTCCTGCCTTACAAGTCACTGTCCCTGAACCCTCACACCGGCACCGCTTCTGGCAGCTCCCATCTTCCCAAAATTCCTCATGAAGCTTGTAGGAGCGATTGTTGTGGAAACAAGCAGAGGCGGTGGTGCTGGGATTGTCGGTTGCCTTGATTCCTGCAAGGGATTTAAGAGTCTGTGAGACACCATACAGGGATGGACCTCAGGAAAGCCCCAGTAGAGTTATTTTAGGGGGAGCCAACCAGTGCAAGCCTTCCCTGTAATGGAGGTGTTGGTTACATTGACACTTAAACCAAACGAGAGTTTAAGATACACCCCACAGGGACAATGCTCAGGGAAAATCTCAGCATAATTCATTTTTTGGGCAGCTGGAATGAGATCAGGTAGATTTTGGGGTCATTCTTTCCCCACTGTTTTTGTTGATGTCTACAAGGGTTGTGGAGTCCATGAAACACCAAGCAGCAATGGCCTTCAGGAAAATGCTGGTATAATTCCATGTGTTATGGGAACCTGGGGTCAGATTAGGGGGGTAGGTGGACTTTGGGATGTTTTGGAATGAAAAGACACATTGATTGTGTGGATGCCTACATCCATTGCTCTAGGCTAATACTCACAGCTGAGTTCTCACATGGATCCTCTTCTCCCTTCCCCAAGATCACAGACCCCCACATGAACTCACCACACCCCTCTGTGCCCTGTGAAGTCTCCTGGTCTCCACAATCTTCCAGGCATGAAGGATCTCTCCAGCTTTCTGCCCAATCCTCACCACCTTCACCAGGAATACCATTGGGAACCATGGCTTCATCGTCTGTATCCTCATTGAAGTTGCCACAGAGGCCACAGCTGGCCCCAAAATAGCTGCTGGGCACTGCCACCATGATAACCTGGTCCTCATCATAGGTCACCTGCAGCCCAAAATCCGTCTGGAGGATGGTCCGACCCTCATTTTGGAAAATCTGGACTTTTCCATCTTCCAAGGTGGCTGGAAGGTCGGTGGGTTTGTTGTTAACCTTGTGGGGTAGGAAGGTGAGGAGGATTAAACCTCAGCAGGTAGTTCTCAACCTCACAAAAAGCACATAGATACAAACAGAGGGAGAAATGATTTTATGAATTATCAATTTTCATTATAAAGCAAAATTTTTGCCCTACTTCCTAGAGATTCACACCAAGAAAAGCTCAAATCCCAAATATGAACCATTTCCTACATCTTCTGAGCTAATCTTGTGTGTATGGAGACCAGTATTGGAAAAAAACACATTCAACCTGGAAAATTGATTGGGAATAGAAAAAAAATCCACAAATTTCACAGATGTGGAGGTTCTACTTATTTTTTAAGGTCAACATCAATATTGCAATGATTCATCCTCTGATAATTTTTTTAATGCTTTTCCTTGTTTTTTGAAGGTCAAACTCAACCCAGAAATTTTAATCCACTTGGAACGAATGATTTTACTGGGAACAATGGATCCAACACCTGGAGAAACTCACCTGAACAGCCTTGTCCTCACCAGCATGGATGGTGACATTGTAGGCGTAGACGTAGACATTGGCCAACGGCTTCTTGGAGTGGTCCTGGCTCCTCTGCTCCTCCACGGTGAAAGGCTCCAGGGTGGGGTCAGCCCCGCAGTACCTGGCCAGGGTGTACCTGCAGCCACCACGGGGGGACACAGAAGCCCCATCAAAGGTGTGGTACTGCAGGGATGGGGAGCCTGTGCAGGTGCCCAGGTAGTCGTGGCGGCAGGTGGGCGTGCCCTTGTCCAGGTGACAGCTCTCCTTAGGGCGGCACTGCACCCGCCGGCAGGGGTCTGTGGGTTTATTAGTGACAGAGGATTAAATTCTATTAATTGATTCTATTATTGATATGTCTAAGTATATATTTATTTATATATTTTGCATGATTTTATATCTCATTTGTATTTATATGTAACTTTTTCTGTATTATTTATAACTATCTATATATAATATCCATTTTGTTTAGATATGAATTATTTATCCACATTTTGCTTATGTATTTCCATCACATAGAATTATTAAAAATATAATCAGCGTAAACGATTCTAAAGAAAGTATAAATATAAATTTATCACAGACATGTTATCTCTTACATATATTTTTCTCTAATACTTAGATATTTACAATTTATTGGATGTTTATATTTATAGATAGTGATTTTTATGTATTATTTATGCATTTCTCCATTGATTCTTATTCATTTATTTAGTATATTACATTTAGGTTTTTTAGTATTATTCCTCTATGTTTGTATATTATTATTTTAAAAAAATATTACTATCATAGTATTATATGTTATATATTATCATGTCATTATAATACAATAATATTATTATGTAATGCTATTATTTTTATTTAATTTATTTTTGTCATTTTCATGATTATATATAATGAAATATAATTAATATAAATATCTGTTATCGATATCTATATAATTGTAGATAATTATTGATACCAAAGTCCACCTCCACTCACCACTGTCGCAAGCTCCCTCTGCTCCATAGCGCTTCCCCTGTCCCATCCCGACGTTCCACACCCCAAATGCTGCTGTCTCATGCTCCACACGATGGATTCCAAATCCGCTTCCCAGATTTATCCCAACCCATGAATATTCTGTCCCAGGGATTGGCTCCCACGCCACACTCCCTAATGGCCTCTGGTTCAGCAATATTCCAGAAGTTTCTGCTGTCTTGGCCACCAGCAGGATACGGTTGTCGTATCCCTCCAGGGCAACAA